GCAATAGCCGTTAGTGATACCTTGTGAAGGTGGTAACAGCGCAACCCAATAATATTTTGCACTGAATCTCTCAGTTTAGATAAGAACATCATAATATAAGTAGATATGAATGAAATATATCGACGTAAGACTTATCAAGTTTCACTGGCATACAATTCTGAACACAGTTATGGGCTATTTTACAACTTAAAAGATGAAACGTGAATTGCAGTATGAACTACTCATTCTATCTCATAATCTACTAATAAGTAAAAGCCTTGATCACTGCATTTTTCTAAGTGACATTTTAACACATCAAACAGCGAACTGTTCTGGAAACGAAACCTTGTGAGATATCTGTAAACTACGAAATCAGCAAAGACCATCTAAAACCACACTCGAATCCTTCCACGGGCATCTTGATAGGTAGCACTCAATCAATTGATTAAGAAACAGTATTGATATTGATAAAGAGTTACATCGATTACACCGTCCTTAGCAGCGATCAGAAGGAACAGACGCAAATCCATCAACGGCTGTACAACTTACAAGTAAGATATGAGAAGTTAATTCAAAACATTACTTTTCGCATTTTATTCTAGAGAATTATTCTATGTCAAATTATTCCGACAAGTATGAGATCTTTTACATGCTCCATATCATGATTATATTCGAGTGTTGGTGGAAAAACTATGTTGTTTCAATAAATTAGCACTCATCGTATTCAACAACTAACAATGATTAATTATAAACAACTATGTAAAATTGTACTAGGATTATCAAGCGAAGAATTATTGTTTACAGAATTTGAACTATTACGATACGATTGAACAATGTGGAAACGTGAATAAAATAATGCTGTAGAATTACTACAAAAATTCGGTTATTTATATTCAATGGTTGCCGATGTATACAAGTTTTTATTTACTCGACCAATCACAGCAGCAACAAATGAGTGATATTTTAGCAAATTAAAATTGATCAAAGTGAAGATTCCATTTTAATATCTATGGAAACATATTGGCTACTCCTGCTATCCTAGAAGATGAACATTAAGAACTCAAATAATTTTGAAATGATGAGGATCCTTTGTTCTAGATGAAGATAGTGACCGACTGCCTTTTGTGTAACTTTTTCTCTTTCTCTTTTATTTTTTTAAACACATAACAAATTAAATACCGATAATATAACATTGAACTTGATCCTAAGATTAAGTGGAAATCGGATAAAAAGGCACAAGTAAAGAAACCTTTACAGCTTGTCTGATAGAATTTTGTAGGGATACTGGGTCAACTGGAAGTCATCCGAATCCGATTCGACGCCGCTGAGTCTCTTCAGCGGTTCTTAGGACTCTGGTTAATCTTAGAGTGCAGAGAACTGCAAAACAGTATTTACAAAAGTTTCAACCGTTAGAAATTTGAAAATCTAAATTTCCATTTTTCCGAAATGTCTAGACGTCTTCGTTAAGGAAAAGGTTTTTGAGCTTTCATATCATGAAAAGAAATGGTGAACACTTACTATCTTATAATGAGGCAAAGGACATCGAACATTCATTTGAGAAATGATTTTTGCTATTTTTTGTTTTGGTGTATAAAAGTAAATAATTCACTTTTCCGACACAGCTTACGACATTCTCTAAAATTAATTCATTCAACAGAATCAGCTGTTTCTGAATAAAATATATATAATCCACATGCATCTGGGTGTAGATGACGTTTTTGTTGCTCAAAACAGTATATTTTTACCAGCAAGTACGGCAGAATTCCTAAATTTTTATGACCAAAAATTGTCTCAGAATCAAATGCACTCAGAATCATGCACTGCTAGTTGTTTAGTTAAATCTGTTCGTTTGCTGGAAATATGTAATGATCTCACCTAGTAAACATATTAGCGTGTCATTATCTAAATCTATTATTTCCTTTCAAAAACTCGGATTTCTTCACAAAAGCTTCATGTTTTCTTCTGATGAAATAAGATGTCTCTCAGCAATGACTGGATCTCCTTTCATCGAAGAGAATCTGTTTCTTCGGTCATGCTTTTCTGCAAAATTCCGGATTTCTTCACAAGGACTTCATTTTCTAATCGAGAAACCCTGGATTTCTTCACAAGAGCTCCCTTTGTTTTGCTCAAAAATATGATGTTTCCTCCAGAGAACTTCCTCAATAGTAATATTCTTCACAACAACTTTGTTACGTTTCCCGAAAAACTCCAGCTTTGTGCAGAAGAACTTCATTTTCTATCCGCAAAAATCAGGTGTTTCTTCACTAAACCTATCTAGCGTTTCTGTTTCCTACATGTAGTCATATTTCACACCTCATGTGACTCCTACTTCAGATCTGAATATGTACTGAATTTGCCTATCAGCTTGTCTGGTTTGTGAAAAATTAATTTTCTTCTTAACTTAATGAGAACAGGTGACGATGCATCATTCGGAATGTATTGAATGTGAGGTATAATGGTGACATACGATGAATGTATGCTAACAGCAGTTAATTCGGCACAAACAAGCAATAATATCAGTATAACGACAATATTCATCCTATTGAGCTTTCTAAACAATGTGACTATGCACCAAATCAATATAATATTTGTTTCAAGGGTCTTGTTTTTTAACTTTAATACAAGAGATGTTCCGAAAATCGATTTTTCTCTTATTCTACTTGATGCTTATCTTTTACGTGAATCTGTCTCAGACGTGATTCATATGCTTTGTACTTGAATACCTTTGTATGATTCACAGTCATCGATGAATTCATTTACGTCAGTGACATTATGCTACGCGTAGAGCTAACAATGTGCGTTTTAATTTAAAGATATATCAGAAACGACATATCGTTTTTCGATAGAAATCCGAGATTATCGTTATTTTTTTAGGAAATTCCTACCGGTAGTAATCGCTTTTCCCGATGACAAAACGAGTTAAGAATTGAAAATTGATAGAGTACAGTCCTGAAATTAGGCCCATACTGCCATTCCAGCGTGTTAGTCTGAATACATTCTTAGTTAGTAAAGTGTAGTTGGTGATTGTTTATAGAAGAGAAAATATCAGAAAAAATGTAAAAAATCTCATGTTTGATATTTTGAATCATGATACTTACTACTATTATAGTAGTATTATCGTTTGGTTGGGAACGTATAATAAAATGAAGACAAGAAAAAGTAAAAATGTGATTCTGCTTTCTTCTCTGATAGATATTCTGTTTTCTTTCAGTTTACACCGTTTTATTATCTCAAAACATTAACACGTTTATTAAATATATTGTGAATTAATAGTGTATATGCTGGTGATTGCTACAGACATAGCGCTATAGTTGAGAAAAAGTACTCTAATCTAGGCGAACTATTAACTGTAAAGCGTTAATTCTGTGCGAGTGAGGCAGATTTCATACAGCCAACATTTGAATAGAATGGCATGTCGGAAGATAAATGGATATCTAAATAGTTTTCACGTAAAACTTCGTTTAACTCTACCTTTAACTCTACGTTTAACGAAGTATTGGACTTCGTTGTTTAGAGTTTTTATTAAGGCAATTATCACAGCACGTGATGAATTAGCCTTTGTCAAAAGTGTCAGAAGCGAATGCATGAGAATTTTTACTAGTAATAAATATAGTAATAAAAAATATAGTAAAAAAATATAAATACACAAGTGGTAAAATAAATTACCTCGTTGACCTTAAAATTCTTTGTTATTCGTGTTCACCAATGAACGGCTAAGTCTCACCTAAATCCTCTCCAGCTTCTGAAATATTGAGTGGCTGGTTTATCAAAAGAGTCGTTTTAATTCGATAATTACGTCGTTTACAATTCGAGTTATATTTTATTTATAAGTTTTTTATGAAATAATATTTGAAGTGTAAATTTGCTCCTTCAACAGTGTTTATCAACGCAGCATTATGCTCCGGAAGATGTTGGCACAAACCAGAGTTGGTCAACTCTTTCATCTTCTTTTCGAAGTATTTCACCGTGAATTCTGTTGACCATCCGTGTAGCTCGCAGTAGTTCAGCCCCAATAAACCGCCTAGAGAAACAATATGAGATGTTAATATATAAAGGATGAGGGTCGATTGGAGGCAAAATCGACTCCCTCTCATATCAATCTCATATTCACAGGTCCGATGTAGTTTTTCTCCGTGATTAATAAGAACACTAGAAATACTAGCCCCGACCTCCATAAATCCATACGTCAACAGTGTTCATTGTTGTAGAAAAAAATTCGGTGATGTTGGCAGAGGGTGTCCGAAAGTTTCAGTTTTTCGGCTGCCAACTGGGCCAGTGTTATTCAAAAGATTTAATCTACAAATCGATAAATGATGACAATTCAAAAACTGTGTCAAATGAATGCTTACTAAATTCTTGTACTGACAACAATCAGTTGCCTAAGTCCCGGTAAACGCAATTTTTATGGCAGCCTGAGATTATGGCGCTAATTATAACACCCACAGAGAAATCTTAACAGTACTTGTGCTACACAGTTCCACAAGCTTTTTATTGATTTTTCTTTCGGGTTCATCTATAGTCCGACAGTTCAGTTTTCAAAAGTTAACTGCAGGGTGATAGACGAACTCCTTCAAAATTTAGTTACTATTCGGAGAGAGAGACAGACAGAACGAGTGCTATTGTGTTTTTAACAGGTCAATACCTAATTTATCAGGTGTCATTCTCATGCCTTCTACACATGTTGCATAAGTTGTCCTTAAAAGTATCCAAGGTTTCATATCTGTCAGAATCTGTCATATATGTCAGAAGCGAATGCACGAGAATTTTTACTAGGAATAAATATAGTAATAAAACTATCAAGATGCGAATTCACTTTACTTGTAATATTTTTTGTATACCTCTGTAACAAATACGTAAAAGTTATGTAAGTACGCAACAAAAAAGAAGAGAAAGAAAATAAACACCTTCAGATGCTTGAAATTAAAAATATAATCTTTTTTATTATCAGAATATAAACGAATGTGGATATTATTAAATACATTATTCACTTTATTACGGTGTTATTCAATAGAAAGAACAATATGACTCTGTCACGTCTTTTTTTCCTACTTATTAGTTGTTATTCAGTAACAAAATGTTCTGGTTATACTTGGTGTGAAACTTATTATCCTTATCATTGTTATTCTACTAGTGTATCATTAACAACAGCTGGTATCGTCGGCGTAGTTATTGGAAGTCTCGTGGGTCTTTCATTGTTAATTACTTGTATTGTATGTATCTGCCGTAGCATTACGCGAAGAAATGCTCAACGAACAGCTGTAATGGTGCAATATCCTGTAGGTAGTGGCGGTATCGTTTACCCAAATCAACCACCACTGCATCAGGGTTATCCAAATCAACCACCACTGTATCCGGGTTATTCAAATCAACCACCACTACATAAGGGCTATCCAAATCAACCACCACGGTAAAATCTTACCAATCCTACGTGAGTGTAAAATGAGTCTTCTTTGATGGCAAGTCGACTTTTGGAACCAAAAAAGTATTCGAACACTTTCTTTTCTCTATGATTCTTGATATTTCTCAAATAGCAACTCACTTTTCAAATATACCTTTCGAAAGAGCAAAGTCTCCGCTTTCTAATAAAAAACCTTGGCAGGGTAGCATCTATCGGTGCTAAAACGTGAAACTCATAATTGTACCGTTATAAATAAATCAACTTACTTTTGTACGACCAAGTAAAGCATCTTTTCAGTTCGTGTGAAGTTACTTTTAAGGTCGCGTAAAGGTATCATCGTCAGTCGTGTAAAACTTTTCAGATCACGTAAAGTCTTTTTTCATACCAGGGCGAACTAGTTAAAATTTCCCTCTTTTCTGGTGAATTTACTAAATCGCCGTTTGTGCCACAAAAAAGCTTTTTAAAATCGACCTGTGATAGATGAAAAGAAAGACGACACTTTGAGAACTGGAGCAGATAGTTTGCTTTTGCTTTTTATGCCTATCACTGTCTTTAAAATAAATATTTTTATAACGAATTGTGAGTTAGAAAATAATAATAACTGGAGCTTCCCAATGTTTAATCCATATTCTTTTATTTATACAATGTATAAAAATGTTTAATATGGTGTTTATAAAGAATTGAAGGGAAATCGTTTGAGACTAACCTCAACTCTCCACAAGCCAACTGAGATAATTGCAAAATATAAAGGAGGCCATTCTTTATGGCGCAGAAATTAATTAATTAACATGCCTGTTCAATTGTACTTTGATTGAAATTATTTGACTACCTTTCTTTTGGAACTCTTTTTTTTTTAATAAAAAGCTATACATCATCTTACGATTCAAATTCGAATATCAGAAAGTCATACCTGTATTATTGTGATATTTTATTTCAAAATCTATATGATTAACAACATAGTATGTATCGCAATTACATTATCATGAATGTTTTGCTAGACCACTTTTTGTTATATAACCACCGATTGGGAAACCATATGAACAATTTTCACTATCTATCCGATCGTCTTTATAGCAGAATGGCATATTATCAACAGTCCAACGTTGTTGATAATTTAGTTTACTGCCTTTCATTAAACGTTTTAATAGTTTTTGCTGATTAGAATCATTCGTACTGTAATTTTTTATGCAAATTTGTTTGCATTCTTCATTTCGAAGAAATTTGAACTAAAGACATAATAGAAATTATAATTTTTTGTTTATATTAAAATTATTTTTGATCCTACTGTATATGGTGACGGTCGTATGCCGAACAGCACTTGTTCAAAATTTTCAGTTAGTGAACTTTCATTCTCTTTGACTTCGCAAAAATCAAAACTAAAAGTGAAATATCGTAATTAGAATGTTTTAATAGAGAATTCATAATCACTTACTAACTATAGTCATAGGATAAACTAGATACAACTGAATCTAATCTATGTACAAAAACTTCGACTTGTGTCTAAACAGAGTTTTAGATTAACATATAAAATCATAACTTGATCAAATATATTGTTTACCTTGCATCTTGGACAATCCCTTAGATATTGTGAATACTGTTTTGGTTCGAAACCACTGTTTATTTAATGTCACAAATGATAATAAAATTAAAAATGTGTTTAAATAAGCGAAAGTTTTCATTGAATATTATCTGAAAGATATTTTATAAAAGAAATGAATTATCGTTCATGTATTGTTGTTTATTTAGTTGATGATTCATGTTTCATAGCAAAAAAAACATGTCACTTTGCCTTATGGATGGTTTTTAAGGGAACAGCATACATCAACTGACGTCAGTGAGAATTCTAGATATGCTACCCCTTTTCTTGGACAACTCTTAGTTTTTGAAAAAGCAATGAAAACCTGTTTTTGCTTGGAAACTAGCGCTTTTTATTCTGTTATCCCATTTTTTTCTCCATTCTGAATATGTACTTTTTTTGCTCTGATTTCTCTTATTTTTATGTGTTATCAGCATATGAAAACTAGGTGCAAAATATTCGCACTGTTTTAGAGAAAATGAATGAATAGGTAACTCTTAGAATATTTAAAAACTGCTATCAGCAAACTTCTGTCGTTAGGCCTTTTAATTAGTATTTTTAAAAGATGGCGCGTAAAGCGACTATAAAAGCGCTTGTAGCTACTAGGTATGTTACAAACCCAAACCCAAGTCTGGACTTGGGTTTGGGTTTGGGTACCCAAGTCTGAGACTTGGGTTTGGATATTGGGTCAGACTTGGTTTATTAAAAGACTCCTTTTAACTGAGATACCTTCTTTTGTTGTGGCTCTTTGAGAAAACAGGATGTAAGATGTTTATTTCGGCCTGTGGGCATACGTA